GAACCCCACCCACCCACCAAAAAGAGATGGTTCAACATTATATGAAAACTTCACCAAAACACATAAATAAGGATTATATGAGAAAGGATCCAAGAGGGGTGTATCATGGTGTTTGTAAATCATGTAAATTTAAGCATTCATAACTTTAAGGACATATAGCACCACAAAATGTATGAACCCCACCCACCCACCAAAAAGAGATGGTTCAACATTATATGAAAACTTCACCAAAACACATAAATAAGGATTATATGAGAAAGGATCCAAGAGGGTGTATCATGGTGTTTGTAAATCATGTAAATTTAAGCATTCATAACTTTAAGGACATATAGCACCACAAAATGTATGAACCCCACCCACCAAAAAAAGAGATGGTTCAAGGGCTAGGCTTACCCGGTGTTGCGGGCTGGAGATGCATACAAAATAAACTAACCATATCTTTTCTGCATTCTACTTCTTCTTCTTCAGATGCTTCCTCGTACTATGCATTCCTTCTGCATTTAATCTCAATCAACATTAGAATATACTGCCACTCAGAAATGTCAAGGGCAAGATAAAAGGAGATATGTCCAGAAAAACGAAAAAAAGGACACAGAAAACAATTGAGTCTGGTAGTTTTACTTGTGTAATTGTGAGCCTTCTCTCAAATCATTTTCCCGACGCTCTGTCAATTCTTATTTCCTTAGACAGCCTTGCATCTGAAATTTTTATCATATCTCAAGCATTTTGATTCAGTCCCAAAATATGGTGGATATTGTTGATGTTGAACATTTTGACTTAATCGGTATGGATCAAACAAAAGTACACTATTTTACTTTTCAAAAAAGGATTTTGAAGTTCATATATACAAAATTACACCTCACGTAATGTACACAAGGACAATACCTTGATCATACAACCTCAGTCATTTTCAAAATTTTGAGATTATTAAACATTAGATGAAAACTTCACCAAAACACAAACATATAAAAATAGGGATTATATGAGAATGGATCCAAGAGAGGTGTATGATGTGTTTGTAAATCATGTAAATTTAAGCATTCATAACTTTAAGGACACATAGCACCACAAAATGTATGAACCCCACCCACCCACCAAAAAGAGATGGTTCAACATTATATGAAAACTTCACCAAAACACATAAATAAGGATTATATGAGAAAGGATCCAAGAGGGGTGTATCATGGTGTTTGTAAATCATGTAAATTTAAGCATTCATAACTTTAAGGACATATAGCACCACAAAATGTATGAACCCCACCCACCCACCAAAAAGAGATGGTTCAACATTATATGAAAACTTCACCAAAACACATAAATAAGGATTATATGAGAAAGGATCCAAGAGGGTGTATCATGGTGTTTGTAAATCATGTAAATTTAAGCATTCATAACGGTGTTGCGGGCTGGAGATGCTAGGGCCAGTGATCCCTCCCCACTGTCAAGAGTAGGAAGTATTCGCTGCTCTGTGAAACCAGCCTCACAAAATAGCACCACAAAATGTATGAACCCCACCCACCCACCAAAAAGAGATGGTTCAACATTATATGAAAACTTCACCAAAACACATAAATAAGGATTATATGAGAAAGGATCCAAGAGGGTGTATCATGGTGTTTGTAAATCATGTAAATTTAAGCATTCATAACGGTGTTGCGGGCTGGAGATGCTAGGGCCAGTGATCCCTCCCCACTGTCAAGAGTAGGAAGTATTCGCTGCTCTGTGAAACCAGCCTCACGCTATACCCTCCTGTCTAAGACCCACAAGACCCATGCTTTCGCACAAGTCCCATGGGTCAACTCGCAACTTGGAGCGGGCAAGCCAGCATAGTGCAACCAGCCTCACAAAATAGCACCACAAAATGTATGAACCCCACCCACCCACCAAAAAGAGATGGTTCAACATTATATGAAAACTTCACCAAAACACATAAATAAGGATTATATGAGAAAGGATCCAAGAGGGTGTATCATGGTGTTTGTAAATCATGTAAATTTAAGCATTCATAACGGTGTTGCGGGCTGGAGATGCTAGGGCCAGTGATCCCTCCCCACTGTCAAGAGTAGGAAGTATTCGCTGCTCTGTGAAACCAGCCTCACGCTATACCCTCCTGTCTAAGACCCACAAGACCCATGCTTTCGCACAAGTCCCATGGGTCAACTCGCAACTTGGAGCGGGCAAGCCAGCATAGTGCAACCAGCCTCACAAAATAGCACCACAAAATGTATGAACCCCACCCACCCACCAAAAAGAGATGGTTCAACATTATATGAAAACTTCACCAAAACACATAAATAAGGATTATATGAGAAAGGATCCAAGAGGGTGTATCATGGTGTTTGTAAATCATGTAAATTTAAGCATTCATAACGGTGTTGCGGGCTGGAGATGCTAGGGCCAGTGATCCCTCCCCACTGTCAAGAGTAGGAAGTATTCGCTGCTCTGTGAAACCAGCCTCACGCTATACCCTCCTGTCTAAGACCCACAAGACCCATGCTTTCGCACAAGTCCCATGGGTCAACTCGCAACTTGGAGCGGGCAAGCCAGCATAGTGCAACCACCAGACCAACCTGTTAAGCCTTAGCCATGTTCCATCACCTTACTACCCCCACATGGGTCACAAGCTGGCGCTACTCAGCTCGGCAAACTAACTAGCATGTCAAACATTTATAAACATTTGTTTGTGTGATGTTCTAGCCAATGTGGGACTTAATGGATCTAAAATGGTGTAGTATTAAGTTGGAACATGCTTTCTTAAATGTTGTGGTCGATGTTATAATCTATAGAGGGATTGTTGGACCGAATTAGTCACAACATATATTGAAGGATTAAATATACTCAGAATGTTACACGCAGACTAAATACACTCAACAAAATGATTCAAAACCAATCTATCGAAATGCATACCTGGTTTAGCTTAGAGTATCAACAATCAACATTATAACTTTCGAAAGCTGCTTCTTCATTTTCTGGCTTTGTTACTAAAACAGAATCAAATTTCTCTGATGCTTCCTAGTACTTAGCATTCCATCAGCATCAAATCCAAGAAAGTAATGGACATTAAGATTATCAGCATCTTCCATATTCACCATTTGTTTGTTATAGTTGGCTTACTAGCATGCTTTTAAACCGAGGTTACAGTTGCGGTTAAGCTGCAAACTTTTATATGGCAGAAAAATATGGCCAATGCGATGTTGCGGATACCTCAAAATACTTTTATGCTACATTTGTAGTTCCAGAGTGCAATTTAAAATCAAGCTTAATATAATCATTATGGATCTGTGTTTCTTGCAATTATGAAATCACACAGTTGCTCTTAATTAATTTAACAATCTAGATCGTATGACTGCAGCAGATGAGGGATTTCCCGACAACAGGGTTTCGAACCCACAAATGCTTATAATAAAATGTCAAAATAATGATTGTGTAAAACATGAGATACTTTTGAAACTAAAATCAGTGTATTGAAATTTCTTGTTGAAACAATTATCAAAACATACCTGGAGTAAATATAACAGGTGGAGAAAAATTCATGGTGTGAATAGCAAATCCTTTTTGCACCTCCCATGCAATTTATACCGGTGATTCCAATCCCATGCAACTTATACCTATGAAGAGCTTCAAAAAGATTACCACTGGCATATACTCAAAATCTAAGAGGTTGGTTCCTTCTTTAAAAAACCCTGCATAGAGTTTAAGTATTTCATCAGCACCAATATCCACCATGGCCGATTAAATTACCTTCCACCAAATGAGTATTTCATCAGCATCAATATCCACTTGGTGAAAATATGATGATTTCCCTTTTTTACTTGCTTCCTTTCGACATTTTTGTAGCTGTTTTGCTCTTCGAATCCTGACGCTTCTACAGATCAAAACCGCGGCGATGAAGACAACAACAATGACCAAGAGCATTACATATTTATAACCAAAGAGAATTCTCCTATGACCATGATCTTTATCACAAATCTTCAAAACAGAATTTATTGAAGGTTTTGGAATTTTCTCAACACATAAACCTTTGTTTCCAACAAAAGCCTTCTCTCCACCAACAAAAAGAGCAATGTGGATAATGAACATTTTGATTCAGTCCAATCTCAAACATTATGGATCAAACATAAAGTATATTGTTTTATTTTTCAAAAAAGAATTTTGAAGTTCATAAATACAAAATGACACCTCATGTAATGTACAATTACTTGATCATACAAGCTTCACTAACTTAGGCCTCCAATTACCTGCTTTGGGTATGATATCACTGATCTTAAAGTGTACCAAAGTCATGTTCAAAATGTTGAGATTAATCATCATTGTAATGAATGTGATTATTGGCCATTAGTCATGAGTCATGACTATAGGTGAAAAGTCATTTAAGTAGCTAAATGAATTATTTTAAAAGCTTATAAAGCATTAAGATTTGAGCATGATGTGATATAACTAATCTCAAAGTACTAAAGTCATATATTCCGAGGTTATTCTTCTCAAAAAATATTTATACAATATCAAACTCCACAATCATAAGCTCAGAGAGAATAAGAAATTACAGCCTCGTGCCATCACATAAACAAAAAATAATACAAGGAAAAGAATCTAACATGCTCAAAGCATGTCCAAGTAACATGAACATGCACACACTTTTTTATTCAAGATACGAGTGGCAAATTGGATGGACCAGATAAAAGAGGCTTGAACCATACATGTCTTGGGGTCAGAGTGAACCAAAGAAACAACATATAACAAAATAGAGAACGGAAAAAGCTATTGAGGTGTGGTATTGGTGTTATTAAAAGTATTGATGGAAATGGACAAATTTATTGATCATAAGTTTCTTATATATCATACTAGTACATAAAACAAGATCATGCAAAGGTGGCAACAAAAAATTGAGACCTATAATTAACTACAAAATATACATGGCGAAATCAAATGTGATGGAATCATATTGCTCAATCAATTCCTTAGAGCTAAACTGGTTGTATTCTTGTGTCTATGCAGAGGGGTTATTTCTTATTAAATATTCCAAAAATTGATTTGATGGCATTGATGGCGTTCTCATTGATAAATGATTCATCGAATCTTTTCAATAATGGGTCGAATTCCGGGGATGCCCTTGCATTTGCAAGGTCAGGATCAGTTCTGATTCTCTGTTAAACAACAACAGCATTAGGCAGCTTATTTAGCAACAAATACGATATTGTAACTTGTAGAGTTATAGTTATCACCTTAAAGTCTTCAAAACCAGATTTTAGAGCTTCTTCAAGTGTAGAAAGTGCCGCTTGAATCTGTTTGAAAAATGTATTACTTTATTAATACATAGAATATATTTGAAACTTTGAATAATCTTAAGTACTTGGAATTTCACATAATCAAATGTATACATGTCTTATTCGAAGATGCTCTAGGTAGAGGTTCGAAGAGACTGAGCCAATTTATTAATACATAGAATATATTTGAAACTTTGAATAATCTTAAGTACTTGGAATTTCACATAATTAAATGTATACATGTCTTATTCGAAGATGCTCTAGGTAGAGGTTCGAAGAGACTGAGCCAAGTAAAGATAAATTGTCCGGGCCAAGAAAGCAAGCCGGTTCCCGGCATAGAGTCGCCCCCAAGATGAAAGAAAGGGGATTGGTGGCATCGGTGCCCTTCATTCATTGGATATAACCCTCGAGCTCTAACCCAAAGTTCTGCCCTCGACCTTTAACGACGGGACAACCCTCGACCTTTAACGACGGGACAACAAACAAAGGACATTTAACCGAATAGCACTAGACCAATAGACCCAAGCAGAGCTAAAGAGCTGGCTAAATACAGATCGGTGCCCTCGACCTTTAACGACGGGACAACAAACCTCGAGCTCTAACCCAAAGTTCTGCCCTCGACCTTTAACGACGGGACAACAAACAAAGGACATTTAACCGAATAGAAAGTGATGTGTTTGAACCAAAAAAGTAATGGTTCAAGGGGCTAGGCTCACTAGGTGTTGTGAGCTGGAGGAGCAGCGGCCTGTAATCCCTCCACTGTCAGGAGTAGGAAGTGTTCGCTGCTCTGTGAAACCAGCCTCACGCTGTACCCTCCTGTCTAAGACCCACAAGACCTGAGCCTTTGCACAAGTCTCATAGGTCAACTCGCAACTTGGAGTGGGCAGGCCAGCATGGTGCAACCACCAGACCAACCTGTTAAGCCTTAGCCATGTTCCATCACCTTGATGCCCCCACATGGGTCACAAGCTGGCGCTACTCAGCTCGGCGAACTAAGAAGCATATCACACATCTATAAACACTTACTTGTGTGATGTTCTTACCAATGTGGGACTTGATGGATCTATGGTGTAGTATTAAGTTGGAATGGAACATGCTTTCTTAAATGGTTTACTTTGTACTCAGCACTCCCCAACTACTTGTAACATGTTATAACACTAATCAATGAAAAGATGCGATTGAGGGATTTAATCTACATATATAGAGGGACTTAATCTATTCAGAAAGTTATACACAGACTAAATACACTCAAAAAATGACAGTACATACAATTTGTAAAGTGAACAAACATATATACCTGATTCAGCTTAGAGTAACAACAAGCAACATTATAACTTGCCACTGCTGCTTCATCGGGCTCTGGTTTTGTTCCCAAAACTGACTCAAATTTCTCTAATGCTTCCTCATACTTAGCATTCCTTCATTATTTAAACAAGAAAGTAACGGACATTAGGATTATCAGGAAGATATCATTAATTCTTATAATCCTATTCTGGATATACTTCGAAATTAACACTTTTTCTTGTCTCAAACTAGGCGTTGCAGATTATAATTTCATATAAAACTGTCACCAATCCTTCATTCCTTATTTTAATAAGCAATTAAGTAATAAAGGGAAATATTTATTAAATCCAGCTCAGCGTCATGATTTTTGTATATTTGCATGATTATATGTTAAAAACCAAAGTTTCATAAAATGCCAAATAATGACATGTGAAATGACAGTTCTGGACAAGAAATAGTACTTAAGCTCTATAGCAGATTGAAAGTTATAATTCCATTCTGAATTGTTATGGATAACATAAATGAAGGAAAACTATTAAAAAAACGTAATAAGAAGATAAAGAAAACGATTTTCTGAGTCGACGGAGTCTTACTTGTATAGTCGTAAGCCTTCTCTCAAATCAGTTTCCCGGCGCTCTTTCAATTCTTTTTTCCTTAGGTAGTTTTGCATCTGAAATTTTTACAAAATTGAGGAATGAAAACAGTTGTAACCCCACAACAAAATACAGTAGTGACATCTTTCAATAAAAAATAAAACATATGTAAAAAAAAAAGGGTTTGAAAATATAAGAAATACAATTTTGTAGTTTAAATATTACGAAACTTACTTGAATTTCCCTGACTTTGCTACTGACTACACCAGAGTTCCTTTCAGCTCTGATGATCTCCTTCTCAGTGAACTCACCACCTGTATCTATCTTTCCTGTAAAGAAATGGAAACCATGGCTCACAGATCCATGTGCTAAGTTCAGAATCAGGGAAACATTGCGAAAATGCATACGCAATAAACTAACCATATCTTTTCTGCATTCTCATGAGTAGCGGGCCTATTCTTTGGCGAATTGTGTACATTGTTCTTCCATATTCTGCAGCTGGCCAAATTTCAGTCCCAAAAACAGCACTGCAGATGTTGAACAGGTTACTTCAGTCATAATGTACATAGGACAATTTCTTTATCATACAACATTAAGCCAACCATCACTAAATTAGGCCTCTAATTACCTTTGCTTTGAGCATTATATGATATCACTAATCTCAAAGTACTAAAGTCATATATACATTCAAAGAGGTGTTCCTCTAAATTAGGCCTATAGTTTCCATAAACTCTTTCAAACAGTCTCACAAGTCTTTATTCAAGTAGATAAGCTTCAATAATCAATCCAAACAAACAACAAAACCTAGATAAGCTTCAATTCAAATAACTATCATGAAGATGATACGCTAGTACTGATCACAAAGTTATACCAAACAACCATATGTCTAATTTTCTCAAAAAAAGAAACTTCAAAAAAAAAGGAAAAATGACATGAAGAGCAGAAACCTGGTGGCAAGTACTTTATCACCAACAGTGAACACTCCGGCTTTATCAGCTGACCCACCAGGAGCAATGGCATCAATATAAGTTCCACCATCTCTTCCTTTGACAAATTTGAGTCCATAAGGTTGGTCAATCTCAACCTCATACTCTTCATACGGTTCCTCTTCTCCTTCTTTTTTGGATGCTTCTGACCCAACATCAGATGAAGCTTTAACCACAAAAAGGAACGGTTTTGAGAACTGGGTATTTGAGAAACTACAAGAAAAAGGGTTTCTTGAAGAAAAAAACTTGGTGGTGGGAAGAAAATAAGTTGGGTTTTGCTTAGAGTTGTTGATTTGGGTTGTTCTTATTGGCAAGGAAAGTGCAGAGTAGTGACCACTGGTGGTTGTGGTTGTAGATATAGATAATGACATGGTTGTTAAAGCTCAAAAGTTTGATTTTTTTTCTTTGAAGCTCAATGAATTGAATTGAATTGTTGAGTAGTAGTAAGAAGAAGAAGAAGATGAGAGGTTGTGAATGTGGATTTGCTGAAGTGGCTCTCAAGGCACATCCACTCAATTCACTAGTGTTATGCCACGTGTACTATATAAATAAATATTTTAGGAAGATACAAAAATTGATGTGGTTATTACTATTATTATCATATATCATTATAAAGTATCACTTAGTATGTTGATAGTTGTATGAATAATTGAAATAATTAAATAAATTTTATTTTTAAATTTATTTATTTATTTAGCTGAAATTTTATTTCAATGGTAGAAAAAGAAAAATCAAAACTAAAATATTGTCTAAGGTATGAATCTAAGAACTCAACTCAATTTAAAGTATGACACAAATCATTAATTAAGGAAGTCTTCACTTCAATCCACAAACTTGTTGGAAGGTCTGCAACATAATTTCATGACATAAAATAACACTGACACAATCTTATATTTTGTAAGGTTATTTTTGTAAATTGAAACATATGTTGAGTTTGTAATTTTTTATGTCGAAACAATGTAGTTCAACAGAAATAATGTCTAGTTGAATTAGTCTAATGTGCGTGTCGAGTTGTATTAGTGTGTGTCGAAGTGTCAAAGCATGTTGCTTCACACAAGATTTTGACTTAGGCTTATTTTAGTAATGTTAGTTATTTTGGCCTTTTATAGTTTTAGGCTTTGGACTTGGGGTGCAAGTTAACCTAAATCTGTAAATAGGGAGAAACCCTTATTTTTGTAAACAACTTATCATCATATCTTGTATTCACAGTTTTACAGTTGCAAAGTGAATAAGAATTTCTAGTTTGGAAGCAGAGAGAACTCTGTAATTTTTCATCTTCTTCTCCAATGCAACATTTCTTTCTTTCTTTCTCAATCTTTTCATCGCCATTGTGTGATTGATAACAATCTTGAGATCAAGATTGAATAAAAATTCTCTATAGGTTGTGGTTGAATTCCAACATCTGGTATCTAGAGCTCCGATCGCGATTCAAGGAAAGAAAATCGTCATGGCGATGAGTAATCCAAACAGACACTTTCTGACAAATCTTCCAATTCTCAAGAAAGATAATTATGAGAATTGGCGCAAGCAGATTAAGGTGATTTTTTATTATCAAGATTTTAGGATCTTGTGAAGGAAGGAGTAACACCAGTTGCAAAGAATGTGATGAATCAAGAAAAAGTTGCATACAAAGAATTGAAGAAGATTATAAAGCTCTCTTTATAATCCATCAATGTGTTGATCTAGATAGTTTTGAAAAGATTAGTGATGCAGAATCAGCGAAGGAAGCGTGAGATATTCTTGAAAATTAGTTTGCAAGAGCAGAGAAGGTGAAAGATTTGAGGTTACAAACTCACAAAAGAACCTATGAGTTGCTTCAGATGGAAGAGAGTGAAAGTATAACAAATTTCTTCGCTAGAGTTACAAAGTTGGTGAATCAAATCAAGGTATGTGGAGAAGTGTTGACGTCAAGATCAGTTGTTGCAAAAATCTTGAGATCATTGGCTCCAAAGTTCGACCACGTGGTAGTAGCCATAGAAGAATCAAAAGACTTGTCAGTATTGACGAAGGAAGAGCTTCAAGGGACGCTTGAGTCTCATGAACAAAAGATGACTAAAAGAGGTGCAGGAAAATTAAAGAGTGATATGACTTTGCAGGCACAGTAAAAAAAAGAAAAGAAAAGAAAGGCAAAGGAAGCTGGAATGACAACAAAGATAGAGGAGGCTACAACAATTCGGCTGGTCAAAATCAGCAGGAAGGAATTGGTCGAATAAGAGAAAACCCTGGAACCAAGGCAACCAAATAGGTGGTGCTACAGGTAGAGGAAAAGGTAGTGGTCGAAAACCCAACAAAAGTCACATTCAGTGTTTTAATTGTCAGAAGTATGGTCACTATTTTAGTGAGTGTCAAGAAAAGAAGAAGAATCAAGAAAATAATGCAAAGTTGGCGAAACATAAATGAAATTCTGGTATGCAGATTTCAGATGTCCCAGACATATGTAAGGATATTGATCTCTGCTAAAACAGAACAAGGAAAGAACATGTGCATTTTAATTCACTTTAAAAACTAGCAGTGTCGTGACATTTGCAGACTGACAGGACAGTTAATCTGACCATTTAAATTGAGCAGAATGATAAAGTAGAAAGATAAATAACACAATGAATTGTTAACCCAGTTCGGTGCAACATCACCTACATCTGGGGGCTACCAAGCCAAGAAGGAAATCCACTATTAGTAGTATTAATTCATAGCTAAACTCCCAGTTTATAACCCCTCACTTAATCCCTACCCAATGCAATTTATTCCTAGAACCCACTAGACAAAAGACACCTCTCACTTTCCACGATCACAGCAGTGGTAAACAATTCAATACAAAAAGAAGACTTTAGAAGACACTATTCAAAGTCACAATACTTGATTTTGCTTAACAGCTTCAATCAAGTACAATACACTCTTGCTTACAAGCTTTAAGTGAACAATTAACAATTAACAGCTAACAATATGTCTACCACGATGTATCCAAAGATACAAAGGGCGACTTACAAAGTCACACACACAAGACTCTCAAAATCCTAAACCCTTATTTTACACTCAAGTTTTTCTTGTTGTGAGTGCTTGTTTTTCCTAGGGTTTTCGCCTCCTTAAATAGTAATGCAGTCTGGGCTTGGGCTGACCAAAAGTAACAGTAGGGAGAGAAGATTTCAATGTTCATAAATTGCAACAGAAATTAGGTTTAACCAAGTTAACCCAATATCTACAATTCATGGTGCTATCAAATAGGTCATAGGCGTTTCATGTTATGCTCAGCACTGCTTAGAGTCTCACCTGAGATAACTAAGGAACCCTAGCAGGTTTCCTGAAATCTAGCCTGAGATAACTCAGGAACCATAACAGAAAAACAAACACGCGCCCTTGTTGGCAACTACTTGATGTCATAACATTCAACATGACATCCAATACACTTTGTTATAGCTAACTAAACTTACCCAGCAGTACACTACACAAGTATGTCATGACATCAGTCAAGACATCTACACACAATAATGTTTTACCATAAAATGCAGTCAATCAAGAACATCTACAAACTCCCATTCTTCTGCAGAATCTTCTTCATAACAGTAGAAACAAATATATTATAGTTTCCTAAAAAGTCTCAAAGATCCTTCTTATGAAAACCAATTAAATCTGCATTTTGTTCCAAATAAATCTCTCTGACCTGCACACATTGATGAAGTATATCCAACAGGATCTCATCAAACCAAAACACCTCCATAAAATAGCAGCTCATGTTGTACCAGACAAAGATGTCATGACATATGTCTTGACATCTTGATTAAAACACATGACATCAGTTCTGTCTTGACAGTAGATGAAGATGTTATAATCTCTTGCTTAACATCAGTGCAAAATCATGTTTTACCAAAATTTAGCCAATCATAGAACCATGGACCATCATAGAATCATGGAACTAGCAATCCCCCCCCCCTCCTTTGGCAAATTTTGGCTAAAACAACCAAACAAACTTATCAGGGCAGCAACAACAGTAGTTTTCTCAAATACATCCAACCTCACAAACTATCATGCTCCCCCTTAATAGTTGCATCCAACAAGCAACAACAACACACTACTCTTTCCGTAGCAGTAGAAAAGTCCTATCACAATGTTGATCATCATGTCAATACATGTGACATAACATCAGGACAACAAATAACATCAATACTTTACTCTCCCTTTTTAGTCAAAAATTGACAACAAATGGAGTAAGTGTGCACACATAAACTCAGATGCACACAAATAACAGAGCCACACCCAAAAATCTAAATCAAACTCAGATACACAAGCTGCTTGATCCCTAATCAATATAAGGACTGCACCACTGCAGCAACAATCCATGGACAAGGGCTTAACCACAAATGAACTCTAGCTTTCAAATCACCCCTGCTGAACTCACTCAAACACAGTAAAATCAATCCTGATTCCAGCCCATCATAAATGACATCAACTCCTTTACCACTCACTTTGGTTCTTTAAGACACCAAACACAAGGCTTATTATTTCCACAGTAGTCCATATGAAGTTCTCAGTAGGACATAGCAGCAACAGCTTAATAGATCATCATAAATACCAGAACATCATAGAGAAAATAAACTCTCATGTAGCTTCCTCATAAACATATTGTTCAGACATCCTGTCTGACATTACAAATACAATAAAGATTCTTAAGCACCAAGTCGTTGAATCTTGAGTTCTTGCCTTGTCTGAAGCTGCACCTTCAGGAGGGACACTTTTGACATCACCAATTAAAGGATAATCAATTAAATACTTGCCAAGTAGCAATTGATTTTAAATCCTCAATTTGAGACACAAAAATAAATTCTCCCAGACACAAACCGATGTTGTTTCCTAGGTCATTCATAAGAAGCAAGTACAAACCTAGTTCAACCCAACAGTCTTACAAAGCCAGACCCACAGTCACATTGTTAAGAGAAATTACACCAGACAGCATAATCTCAGGACATCTTGTCTGACATTACAACCTCATCAGTGGTTCAAGAACACAAGCTTTCCTGAGATTCAACAAACTTTGTACATAGCTCCATATCAGCATAATGTCAACACAAGTAATGCAGCCACACATCAGACAGGTACATAACTTCTCCTATCATGTATAATCAGTACTCCCCCTAAAAGAGAGAACCCAAACACATGACGAACCACTTCATCACACACTGTAACTTTACACTCCTTGTTTCACAAACCATACTAGACCAAATAGCAGAAGTAGTTGCAGGATAGACATAATTATCTTTCAGATTACTCAGATTCAGCTTTGAAGGACTAGAAAAATCTCCAAGATGACAGGGTGAAAGTCCTTCCTTATGCACAAAATCAGAGCTAATGATGTCTTGATCTTCATCTTCACCATCCATAC